AAACAAGAGAACTTAGATCCAGCTTGTTCGCTTGCAGAGATAATGCACAAGACGAATACAGAAAAAAGATCAAGAATTGGATGAAAAATGTGTGTCGAAGGCCAATCAGGTAAGAGAAACGGCAAAAGTTTAAACATCACAGGTTGGGTAGCGCCAATATGATCAGGCCAGAAAAAAGCCAAATCTCATAGGTCGCCGTCTGGCGCCAGGCAGCCCCAATGCGACACGTGATTGAGATAATCACCTCACTGTTACGATGAGAAGTCATCCTGTACAATCATCAGCAGACTAGCGTTTCACCGTTGAATGGGAAGAGACATACTGTGGATATCTGCAACGAAACGGTAAAAGCTGGTCTGACAAGAACCTCAATAGCACGGTCGAAAGGGACAAATATCAAGCCCAAAGAAAATTCTAGTCGGATACCTAGCATGTTACATCGCTTCGAGGGAAGATTATGCACCGGTGTCACACCCAACTCATCGTACACAAAAACGGAAAACAAGACAAATTGTAGAAACAAAGAAGGAAATTAAATGGACGCATCAAAAAGCAGCTTTTCAATATGAAGATGCATTCTTCCGAGAGAAAGGCAATCACAATAAAGAAACTACATACCGGGCACAGATAAGTGGGCATAACTCATAGAAGTAACAACCCTACTTTTTATGAAGAGCAAGGTAAAAGAGGGCAGTTGAAGAGTAGGAAAACGAGGATGGAGTTAGGCGGTAGCCACACCTTGCTGTTGTTGCTGCTGGGCGGATGAATAATCTGCAACAGCGGCAGCAGCAGCAGCAACCATGCTGGTGGTGGACCCAGCTCCTGGACCGGTTCCAGAAATGTCGGAGTTCTGTTGACCAGAGGAAGCACTATAGTGGCCATTTCCAATAGGTACACTGTTGGACTGATTTAGATGTAGATTAGCTCCGAGACCAACAGACTGGTTGGAGTGATGATTTGAAATTTGATTCATGGCTCGATTACCAAGTGCACGCCCAGCAGAAGGTGTTCCAACACCACTACCAACTGGTATTGGACTTGGCTTGCCGTATGCACCAATAGGTGGACCACTAGGCCTATATACATTAGGATTAAATGCTGGAGGAAATGCACCAGGAGCTAAAATTAATCGTTTAAAGAAAGATAGGCTCAATAAACAAATAATAAAATGTCAGAATAAGGATTAAGCAAGAAACAAATGAGCATATAACACGAAAAAATAACAGCCGAAAAAATTATACCATAAGCGCCGGCGGCCGCGGGATTGTACAAATCGAGACTGTAGTATCCCAATCCAAAAGGATCGAATCCTTGATAAGCAAAGTCCCCATAAGGATTATTGGCAAAGCCAAAAGCGGGTTCAAGCCAACTATACCACTGTTTCAAAACTACGGCAATTAGAATAAAATAAGTACCTTTCTGTCTGTTGGCCTGCTCACGAGAAACGGCAGCTCTTACATCACACTGGGAAATGTAAAAATCTTAAGATAACCTACCAATCTCCCGAATATCTCTTGCCGTTCTTTAGCAATAGCTTTTCTTGCAGCTGCCTCGGTTGCGAAGCTGACAAATACATAGCTCTTGCGCTTGCCCTTAGTGTTATCAAAGGGCAAGTCTAGTGATTCCACTTTTCCAAACTGACTAAAATATTCCTTTATTTTTTCTTCTTTAACTTCCGGATCAATGCCGCCAACAAAAATTTTTTTAAGGGGCTCGCGAGAGGGCTTTGCTTTCTTTGGGTCAATTTTTTTATTGCGGAGTTTGTGTTCGTGCACAGCCAATACCTCAAAGATAAATGCAGAAAGGAAATACTTTAGAAACACATTCTTCACTTTCAAGGGTGACAAATCCAAAGCCCCTGGAGTTACCAGTGTATCGATCAAGCTTTATTATACATTGAGTTACTCTGCCCCACTGGGAAAAATACTCTTTTAAATCATCTGAAAATAGTTTATTATGGCAGAATTACTTTCTGTCGTTTCCCAGTGCAAACCTCCGACGAAAAGTTTTCTTAACAGAGATAACAAACATGGAACAAACACCTACCTGCTGTCGTCATCAGCATCATCGGATGGCGCAGCATCACCGGAGCCATTCGCCACAGGTTTTTCCGATGAATTTATCGAGTCATTTGATGATTCCTTCTCGTTTGGTGATGGATTCTTTTGATTCTGATCCTTTTCAAGTTCGGTCATAGTAAAGGCGAGGATGTCACAATACAATGGAGTAGAAGGGAAAGCGCCGAAGCCACTGTTAAAACAATATGAGAATAACTTAACTAGTTCATCTACAAAGATGTAACTATATAATCAAGTTAACCAAAAATATTTAGAAATATGTTAAATTGTATGCTTTTAGGAAAATATAATTTAAGGATATGCTAACTTGTTCGAATTATTAAAAACACCAGTTATTTATATAATAATGCTTCACAGCTTTCAAGAAAACTATTAATAAGCCATTTGGCGTCTTTCGATTTATATGGATATACATGTAAGAATTAGCAGAGCGACTGAAAATTAAGTTTTATACTAATAATTTGTACCCAAATAAATAAATAACGGAACAAAAAGTTAAGATAACTAAATTCATTCTAAACCTATTTCAATAATTGCCTTCATTTACATTTTATTTCGTTTGATAAGAATAACTATATTGGCTTGCGGATTATAGAAAATAGATTAGTTCAACCAACAACGTCAAATATTCAACAACAGATTGTGTGGATTAAATATATATATTGGCAGACTCCAGAAAAAAGGTTATCAGTTTACTCCACTCTTTCTTATTTTCCCTCACAATCTTACTAATCCAGAACTAAGTCAACACAATACATATTTCTTTAAATACCCCATACATTAATAACTCTAAGAAATCAGGCTTAATAATATCAAAGAAGGTTCTCATAAGAATAATCTAATTCAAA